GATGGGTGTTGACTAGTGCTTCCCCAAGAATACTATACTAATGTGACTCATGACTAAGCTCTGATTAAATAAAGGTTGGAGGATTGTTTCCCAGTGAACCTCTAAGGGTGTCTTAATAGGTGAATGGGCTAATAGGCATTATTGTAATTCCAAGGAACTACAGAATTTTCATTTCCTAAATTTGTCTGACCATAAAACCTCTTAACAAAGGCCATGGTAGGGAATCAAATTCCGTCCTCGACAAGCCCTTGGAGAGATCTAAGAATCAGACAGAGGTTGGGTGTGATCAAGTGTGAGACCATAATTAATCTAAATTATAAGTGCCGCCAGCTGAGACTTAGTAATAAAGTGATTGATTGTGCTTAGGCACGTGCTTCTTCATCAAGCTCCACTTGATCCTGAGCTTGCTCTGTGTTTGCATAGACACGTGCTTCTTCATCAAGCTTTAGACTAACCTGAGCTTGATCTGTGTTTGCATAGATACATGCCTCTTCATCAAGCTCTACTTGAACCTGAGCTTGCTCTGTGTTAGCTTTCTTTTTTACTAGTTGTTGGTTAAATATTTTCAGTAGTGATAGTTTTTGTTTCAATGTGGTATCAAGGAGAGAAAAAATGTTAATTTTTATTCAGAGGTAGTATTCCCAGAGTGACAGTTTCATTCATCCCTCCTTGCCTCCCTCTCTCCTTCCTACCCTCCTATCCCCCCCCCTCTGCCCTTTTCCTTCTCCTCCTCTAGAACAAAACAGTGACTCTTCTGAAATGGATCCATGGTTCTACACATGTATAAAAATAACACTTTCCCCCTTCAGCAGGCCCTGGGGTGGAAAGGGCTGCCTGCTCACCTGGACCTAGAGCTGATGACTCCCATCTTCCACTTTATTCCTCCACCCACAATTATCCTGGCACCTCTTAAGCCTCTTCATTGCTGGGGAATACCAGAGAACAATCTGGTTAAAGTAACTACCCGGGAACAATTCCCCGTCTTTTGTGGGTGGAGAGTAAAAGTCCAGAGTGCTGGGCTGCATAACAATCTTCCTACAGAAGATTTCGGCACATGAGGGATTAGAACTCAGGCTGGCGGCAGTAGCCAAGCCGTGCAGGCACTCCTTTACCAGATCCTCCAGCAAACAAAGTGTGGCAACTCTGGATAGTCTTGGCAACTTCCTCGAGCTGTTGGAAAAACAATCCCAACTTGCCAGGCAAGGTGGTAATGCACTGGCCAGCTCAAGAAGCACGAACCGGGAGATCCCAGGTCAACACAGGCCCTTGTGATCTGCCCAGTGTCTCCCTTTGCTGACACTTATTGCTTTGGTGCCGGATCCCAGGGAGGGGGAGGGAATCGGGGCTCACCTGGGGCTTCTGGGGAAGCTGGCTTAGTTTTCCTTCCAGGCAGGGCACTAGATCTTCTCCTTTCAATGTCAATAAAACCTCACTGGAGGGGCAGGGCTTGGCATCCAGCGGGTGGGCGAAGTGTCTCAAAGGGGAGCTAACACAGTCCCCTTGTGTTTCCAGGGTGACTGTGCAGGTGCAGGAAACTGAGGCAGGAGGATGGTAACTGCAGAGGCTGCCTGGGCTGCAGAGTGAATTCAGTAACCTGGGGCAATTGGATGAGACACTGTCCCAAAATTCTCAATGATCTTAGTTCAGTTGTCTGTAGAAGCCTTGGTTCTGTTTCCAGCCCCCACCCTTAAATCCAAACATTTATTGCTGGAAACTATGTATTATCAACTGCAAAACAATCTCTCCACTGGGATAGATGTTTCCTTTTATAAATAAGGAAAGAAATGTCCAAGGCCATTATGGTGTGAGAGGTTGAGGGAGGATTTGAACTCAGCTCCCATAGACTTTCTTCCGATTAGGTGGCATTTTATCCTTTCCAAGGTATTTTTTTTAATTTTTTTTTTTTTTTTTGGTTTTTCGAGACAGGGTTTCTCTGTGGTTTTGGAGCCTGTCCTGGAACTAGCTCTTGTAGACCAGGCTGGTCTCGAACTCACAGAGATCCGCCTGTCTCTGCCTCCCAAGTGCTGGGATTAAAGGCGTGCGCCACCACCGCCCGGGTCCAAGGTATTTTTAGTTCTGTTACATGCTGTGGGACTCACCACAAATCCGCAAGGCAGACAAGTGTTTGACAGATTAGTACAAACTTCCAGTGTTGAGTCACGGTCCAAGGTTACCCAGGCCGCCAACTGCTTCTGGTGCTGGTCTCTTCCATCCCAGTAGGCCTTCATTTTACAGTTGACGAAACTGGACCACAAAGGCAAATGTCCTTAGATCAAGGAGCCAACAAGAGATGAAGTGGGACCCAGCCAGGCAGATGGTCGCAGGTGAACTGGGGATATCAGGAGTGAGGGTTGTGGTCAGGTCCCTTGACGTCGGTCCTTCTGCCTCCGACCCATCCTTTTCTCATTCTCAGACCAGCTGGGATGGAATCCTGCAGATAATCCAGACAGCCCCTGGATGGTGAGCCTAGAGTCTGACCCCCTGCGGCTGCCACACCATCTGGGAAGCATGGCTGCACCGTGTGTGTGATGTGGGTGTGGAGGTGGGAGATAGCAGAGTGCCTGGAAGTTAGAACAGCCTTTCCTCTGTGTAGCTGTCCTGCCATCAAGGGTCCTCTGTCCCCGACCCCTGACCCTGATGGAACTAGATCTGAGTCTAGACTTTTAAGCTGAAGGTTGCCACCTGATATGGGCTTCAGTGACTAAATATAGGGGTCACGAAAAATTTGGCAATAAAAGGTTTCTGAAAGCATAATGATGAAAAAATTTGTTTAAAACCAAACACTAAATAAGTCTGAGCTGTTCCTGGCAGCGTCCCCTGTGTGGTGTGGACTTCACTACAGTCTAACTTCTCACCATTCACCATGCATGCCATTGTATCACACAACACCAGGGCATACACCATGCATGCGATCACGTCACACAGCACCAGGGCATACACCGTGCATGCCATCGCGTCACACAGCGCCAGGGCATACACCGTGCATGCGACCATGTCACACAGCACCAGGGCATACACCGTGCATGCCATCGCGTCACACGGCACCAGGGCACTTTGGTTCAGCTTTGAGACCCTGTGCGTCTCAGTTTGGTGTCCCTCTACTCACAGGGTCTGCCTTTGTGGAGACTTAACTGTTACGGAAGACAAAGACTTCCCCACCGTTGCTCCTCAGCCTGCACATGTGAAATCTTTGGGTTGTATTGTGATAAAATGTTTGATTTTAAAAATTCATGTTTGAATTGTTGACTTGAGCTTCATGAAGTCTCTTTTGTCAACTTTTGAATTGTGATGAGGGCAGAAATGCCAACAGTCTCTGAAATGGTTATATATATGTATATATGTCTGCCATTTTGTGTTCTTATGTGAGGTGGCAGTCCCAGCATTGATGATTATAAAAATTGAAATACCAGTCAATTCTGAAAATGTTGAAGATGTTTTCTGTTTAACTCTTCATAAATATGTACATATACTCACTTGTATATATAAATAAGCTCATTCATCTCACTAGTATCAAATCTACTCTAATCTTTAACACATGGTAAAATTATATATATACTAAGTAATTGTCTAAAAATCAATTTCTTTATGATTTATTGCTAAAAGTTTGATGTGTATATCTATTGTATGTATCGTATTGTATATATCGGGTCATGTAAAAATGTCTCCAGCCAAAAGCAGCCTGCAAGTAGAAAAAGTGCAGGACGTTGCAGCCTTGATGAGGGTCTCCGAAGTGCAAACGTTGCAGCCTTGATGAGGGTCTCCGAAGTGGTAGACATTGCAGCCTTGATGAGGGTCTCCGAAGTAGTCTGGGTCTGAAGTCTTTTCAGGGGTGTTTGTTACACAGACAGACACCAAACTTCCTCTTCTCATTCTCGCCCAAAGACTGCGTGATCTTGGACTGCAAGTCCTTAGTCAGCTGATCTTTTTGTGGTGTGCTCACCCTGGTGTGCCAGGGGCTGGGAGGCAGAGTGGCAGTAGTCAAGTCCTTCCATGGGAGAGCTCAGAGCCTAGAGGGTGCTGGTATCTGAGCAGCTGGGGACGAGACAGGTTGGCAGAGGGGAAGATCCTGTTGCCTGGACCTTCATGGCTACTAAGTGCACATAGTCTTATCCCAGGAGGAGTGAGGTCGAGTAGTCTCTGTATTCTGTCCTGTCCTGCTTCTCCATCCAGGAACCACCAGCTATTGGTCTAGGATGGGGGCAGGGCTGCTCTGAGACCTTAGGATGGGGGCAGGGCTGCTCTGAGACCTTCTTCTCTCCCTAGCCTCGCACTTTTTGCCTCCGAACCTTAGGCTTCCATTCCCAAGGGACCAGACACTGGCTCTATTTTCATTCCCTTTTCACAACCGCCATCTTTCTCCTTAAACTCTGGGTCTGCTCAGATGGAAGCCTCTGACCACAGAGGGAGTGATGCGTTTCTTCCTGCCAGGCCCCCTCTAAGTGCTTTTGGAACAGGATACAGGCGACATGCCATGGGAAGACAGTGTCTAGCAATGAGAAAAACAGCTTGGGCACCATGGGAGTGCCACAGGAACTGGCTCACAACAAATCATCCATTGAATTTAGCTCTGGCACCCCGTTCCCTGGGAGAGGCTGACAGGGTTATGGAGGTCAAGGGCTCCTAATCCCTTGGGGTCTAGGGCCAGGTCACTCTGATGTGATGGGTTCTGCTGAACTCTCTAAAACTCTGAAGAAAATTACTTGTCAGGAGGGAGGAGCGAGCTGCCTTCTGTCAACTGGGGCAAGTTTGGGTGATTAAGCTAAGAAAGCAAAGCCATTTTGGCCCAGGGGATTAACTTTGAGGTGTGCTGGGAACCAAGAAGTAACTTATTGCCTGTGAGGCAAACCAAACCTGAAATGACTCCTCAGTAATTGCTTGCCTTTCCGTCTGCCAAGCCGAGCAGCCTGGGATATAAAGGAGAGCTTCTGCTGTCATCCCCATCCTCTCCACAGACCTTTGCTCTGCTAAGTGGTTGCCAGCTCACCGCCACACTCCTCGCCATGAGCAAACAAGCCTGCAAGAAGTCCTTCGGCCAGGGCTTCTCTGGCCACTCGGCTGTGGTATCCGGCAGCAGCAGGAGGAGCTGTGTGGCACGCACTGGGGCAGCCAGCGGAGGAGCTTGTGGGTTCCGGAGCGGAGCAGTTAGCTTTGGCAGTCAGAGCCTCTATAACCTGGGTGGCAGCAGAAGTATCTCTATTAGTGTGGTGGCTGGTGGCTCCCAGACTGGTGGCCTCGGTGGAGGGCGTAGCAGCTCTGGCAGTGGCTATGGAGGTGGCTATGGAGGTGGCTTTGGTGGCAGTAGAGGGATAGGAGGTGGCTTTGGAGGAGCTTCTGGATTTGGAGGAGCTAGTGGCTTTGGTAGGCCAGGTGGCTTTGGCCCCAGTGGCTGCCCTGGAGGGATCCAGGAAGTGACCATCAACCAGAGCCTCCTGCAGCCCCTCAATGTGGAGATCGACCCCCAGATTGGGCAAGTGAAGGCCCAGGAGCGTGAACAGATCAAGACCCTCAACAACAAGTTTGCCTCCTTCATTGACAAGGTGAGCCGAGAGCCCAGAGGCAGTGTGTGGGGGAGTGTTTGTGGAACTAGAAGATGGTACACAAAGCTGCCAGCAGGAAGCCTGGCACTCGGGCTGGCTACCTTATGCTTCCAGGACAGCGAGCACACGTTTCTTGTTCTTTGTGTCCTCATTCCAGCGGTGGAAGGAGGGAAGGACTCCTGGTTTTATTTTCCCTCTAGTGACGAGATGAGGACCAGCATGGTGAGGGATCAAGTATGTTTTTAGTGCTGAAGAATTTGCCACAAGTCCAGAACAGTTACCTTCTTTTGGGCAGTCAATTGCCTGATACTAGCTAGCAGCTAACTAACTCTGTACAAACCTGGGGACTGCTTCTCATATCCTCAGCAGCACCATATCTGCCTAGTGAGAATGTGCTTCTGCCAATGGTAAGCTGGACTGTCAATGATGGGGCAGAGCACGGCATGCTGGGTCCAAGGCAGAGATGAGCCTTGGTCAGCTGCACGATGAATTTCTGAGGATCCATTGGCTGTTTTTACTACCTTCATGGAGAAGAGAGAAGCTGATAGTGAAATCTACATAAAAATCACTGTAGCCGTGCTGGCCTCCTTTGGCTGTATTTTGAAGGGTCCCGAGAGACTGAGAGTCGTCATGGGTTTGGCTCTTTGCTTTGCTATTCCGTGTGCATCTCACTTATGGTGATTTAATGGTGCTCAGGTGGCTGTAGAAATTAAGGGACACAGGATATATGAGAAGAGGTTTGCAAATCATTCTACAAACACCTGCTCTCCCCTTTATACCCCACATCTTCTCCAAATTCTGAAACACAGAGGTCACTGTGGGTTAAGGAGTTGGGTCTCTTCCCCATCTTCCTTAACCTTTGGGGTGGACTGAGGGGCTCTTTCCTTTCTTCTCTTGATGCAGGTGCGCTTCTTGGAGCAGCAGAACAAGATCCTGGAAACCAAGTGGGAGCTGCTCCGGCAGCAGACCACAGGTGCCGGCTCAGGGCCCCAGAGCCTGGAACCTTTATTTGAATCCTACATCAGCTGCTTGCGCAAGCAGTTGGATTCCCTCCTCGGGGAGAAGGGAAGCCTGGACGGAGAACTGAGGAGCATGCAAGACCTGATGGAAGACTTCAAAAAGAGGTCAGGGTCCCCGTGGAGGAGCTTCCTCACTCGGGATTCAAACACCTTCAGTCAACACTCTTTGCTGGGTTTGTGGAGTGAAGTCCGTTCAGGTTGAAGCTGGTAGAGTAGGAACTCATGCTTGTGGGACTGATCCTTACACAGTTTCAGTTTCTGGCAGGTTCCCCTCCTACATCCTACATGGGGGTTCTCATGGGGGAGCGGCATCTGTACATAGGAGTCACCTAGGAAGGTCATGAAAAGGGCATATCCCTGTGTTCCAGTTGCTGCTATTCTGAAACAGTGGGTGTGGGCAGTGCTGGGTCTGAGAGATCCCGAGCCCCAGTCCAGGGCTGGATTGTGCAAATTCATTCTAGTCTTTTCTATATTTGGTCTTCTGCATTTGGAACTTCACTCTGCCTCCTTCTTAAGGTTCCAAATTTGAGTTCCCACCTGAGATCTGTGAGAAGTGAACAGGGCCTCCCAGGTGGGAGGGAGCTCTAGGCATCACTAGGAGTTAGGGCTCACATAGAGGGGTACACTTGCTTCTGGGAGCCCCTGCTCTTTCACCATTAACTCACTGAAGTTGTTCAAAGAGCTCAGGCACACAGGTGGGCTCTTGATCCACTCCCAGGGGCTTCACATTGAACTTGGAGAGGGCAAGGCAGCCCTTGAGCCCTGAGAAGTCTCCAGACAGTATGTGATTTTCCGGTCTTGGCAAAATGATGATGTAGCACCCTTGTTAAAAAGTTCTGAAGAATTTCAGGACGATGGTAGCAGAGCTTTGCCAGCAGAGTGAGGAAACTGTGGCTCCGTGTGATCATACAGGGCATGTGCCCACAACGCACGAGTCTTGTCTCTGGGTGGAAAGGTCCTGTAGGAGCACAGAGGTCCTTGCCTTTCCCACTTTCGTGTTTTATGTATATGGGGGTTTTGTCTGCATGGACATCTGCACACCAGAAGAGGGCACTGGATCACGTGACTCTACAGTTACAGATGGTTTGAGCCACCGTGTTGGTGTTGGGAATTGAACTCAGGACCTCAGGAAGAGCAACCAGTGTGCTTAACTGCTAAGGCATCTCTCCAGTTCTGAAATGTCTCAACCTGTGGTTCTTCCTGTCCAGGTATGAAGAGGAAGTCAACAGGCGCACTGCCGCCGAGAATGAGTTTGTGGGGGTGAAGAAGGTGAGTGAGTGTTGAAGTGGACCCAGAATCCCTGTGTCTCCCACAGAGGGAGCAGAGCACTCCTGTGGATGGGGCTCACTTCTTTTCACATCCTTTGGAAACGTTTAAAGGGAGCTGTTCAGTTTAAACCCAACTGTAACTGACAAGCTAGTTAGTAATGTTACTAATAATGAACATCTCTTGCGGAGCATTAATAATCAAGAATATTTTTTAGCCCACACACGTATTGTACTTTGTTTCTGTTCCCTTTAAAAGGTAAAGTGAGAAGTTAGATCTAGAAGGGCTAGGGGAGGGACAAGTGCGAGAGAGGCGGGCACAGAGAGAGGCTTGAGTAGAAGGGGACAGAGGCCATTCTCTGGTTTCTCTTTCAGGATGTGGACGGTGCTTACTTGAGCAAGGTGGAGCTGCAGGCTAAAGTGAACAGTCTGACAGACGAAATTGATTTCCTGAGGACCCTCTATGACATGGTGATTCTTCAGTTTGCTGCTTAGAGACTGGACTGGCCACCAGCAGTTTCACAAACACAATTCTAGGGGCAGGTCTAGAGGCAGCCCACCCTCAAAGCCAGCCACGAGGCTCCCGACTCAGCCCTGGTCTACCCTGGAAATGCCCACATTTGTTCCTCCTGCCTTCAGGGTCAGGGCCCCTCTTCCCCGAGCTTCACAGCCCCGGATCAGTCAGCTCCTAACACCCCTCCGCCCTGTGCTCCAAGGAGAAGCCGCCCTTGGTTTCCAGGTTGATACATTTTTGCAACTTGCCCTTTTTAGCTTTGTTGCTGGCATCCTGTAGGCTCCAGACAGACTTGAAATAAAAGCTTTATTTTTTTTCTACTACCCCATTATTTAGCATTAGAGGGCATCTCTGCTAGTAGAGAAGTCCTAGTACCAACTGGGACCTGTAACCATCCATGTTCCCCATAGGAGCTGTCCCAGATGCAGAGCCATGTGAGTGACACATCTGTGGTCCTGTCCATGGACAACAACCGCTTCCTGGACCTGGACAGCATCATCTCTGAGGTCAAGGCGCAGTATGAGGACATTGCCCAGAGGAGTAAGGCTGAGGCTGAGGCGCTGTACCAGACCAAGGTGGGACCCTTCCCTTCACCCCTAAGGTCATTAAATTCTGATCAGTCTCATGAAAAATCTGATGACACTTTGCAAAGCCCTGCTGATCCATCTCCTCCGTCAGCTTGGGGAACTGCAGACCACAGCCGGCAGGCACGGGGATGACCTGAGGACCACCAAGAGCGAGATCATGGATCTCAACAGGATGATCCAGAGACTCCAGGCGGAGATTGAGAACGTCAAGAAGCAGGTGTGGCAGCAGCGGAGCTCTTCTGCCCGGTTTTCTTCATTCTTTGGTGAAGTCACAGCCCAGGGAGCCTATGCTGTCCAGCTATTTCCCCTGGAGGCTGAGCTCCTTGGAATCCCAGAACCCAGCAGGAGGGAGGGTTGTAATTCTGATGGCATAGCTAATCTGATCACTGCAGTGATGGCCTTAAAGCAGTCTGATGGCCGGCTGGAAGACTGTTGTTGTTGTTTTTTAAGTCACACTTTGTACAACCCCAATGGCTACTTTGTATCATTGGAATGAAGTGGTCAGAGAAGGGAATTTTTTTTTTAGCAGTCTTGCAAAAGAGATCTAAGGCTTACCAGATTGCTGTTACCTTTGCCAGCTCAGGGAAGCAGATGTGTTTCTTTTCATGAGTCTCGAGTTGATTTCAGTGGGCCCAGGATGAATTAGTCAAACTGCAATATTATCCTGACTTGTGAGCTCATGCCACTGGGAAGGGAAGGAGGAGTGAGGATGGGTGAAAAGATCCTGTCTTAAGGACAGTCAGGTGTTTGTTTAGTCCTATGCTAATTTAATTTTTTATTCTCTCTTCCCCAGAACACCAACCTGCAGACATCCATTGCAGAAGCTGAACAGCGCGGTGAGGTGGCCCTCAAGGATGCTGATGCCAAATTCCAAGACTTGCAGGCTGCCCTGCAGAAGGCCAAGGATGACCTGGCCCGGCTGCTGCGTGACTACCAGGAGCTCATGAATGTCAAGTTGGCCCTGGATGTGGAGATCGCCACCTACCGCAAGCTGCTGGAGGGGGAGGAGAGCAGGTGAGGGGTCAGCATTCTCCAAGCAGGTCCTCCCCCTTCCTCCCGTGCCGAGACAGGGTTTCTTCGTAGTTTTGGAGCCTATCCTGAAACTAGCCGTTGTAGACCAGGCTGGCCTCGAACTCACAGAGATCCGCCTGCCTCTGCCTCCCAAGTGCTGGGATTAAAAGAGTGTGCCACCACCGCCCGGCAGCAAGCAGGGTTTATAGTGACCTCAGGTAGTCAAGAAAGGGGGAAAATGCTAATAAAAGGAGAGGACAAGTTGGACAGAAACCAGGGGTCTCCTGCGCAGCAGAGGAAGTGCAGAATCTCACTATCTATGTGCAGTATCTCACTATCTATGTGCAGTATCTCACTATCTATGTGCAGTATCTCACTATCTAAGTGCAGTATCTCACTATCTAAGTGCAGTATCTCACTACCATGTGCTTCTATTCATCCATGTGCTTCTATTCATCAATGTGGTCGGAAAAGCACATTGAAGCTGTGACAGAAGTCACAGACCAGGGCCACCCCCTGGAACTTTCCCAGATGCAACAATCACCAGCCTCCCTCGATTCCTTTGTCCCTTCCTCCCTTATACCTTCCTTCCTTCTCTCCCTCTCCCCACCCCACTGTTCTTGTTTTCTTCTATTGAGATGGGGGTCAAACTATGTAGCTTCAGCTGATCTTGAACTTATGATTCTTTTGCCCTAGGCTCCTGAGTGCTGGGTTTACTGGCTATGCTTCAGTGCCTGGCTTCTTCCAGCATTTGAAATGTAGTGAAACTGAGGAGCTGAGTTTTACATTTAATTGAAATTAATTTACATAGCTTCATGTGGCTAGTGACTACCATGTTGGAAATTCAGTGCCAACAGTCCTGTGATCCCCATTGCTGAAGCTGAGTCTATATGGCGAAGTGCCCGATGCATACAATATCCCTGAAAAATAACACCGTACAGTGGCAGGTGAAGGCTTAGAAAGTGGACACCACAGGTAAAGACAGTGTCAAGAACTGAGGGGGCATTCTGTTGAGTCCTGTCTCATGCATCTTCATTCAGAGCCTTTGCTCTCAGTCGGTCCCCAGTCTGATGGAGGAAGGAGAGCCCAAGGTGGGAATTCTGACGAGTTTCCGTCGGAAACAGTGGAAAGGAGTTAGGTGTCATGAGAGTCATGTGATGAGAAGGGAGTGGCCAGCGTCAACAGGCCTCTGTGGTTAGGGCCACACAAATGCTCCATGTCTGCTCAGGGCTCTATGAACAAGCATCAGGCCCACAGATGGGCATTGTGAGCAGAACAATTTCAAATGCTCCCAGTGCACACCAGGGGTCAGTGTCTCATGATTTCTCCATCAACTGCTGCCCCAAACCCCATGCCACCCTGAGCCTCACTGGGGAAGGCTTCCTGGAAGAGAAACTTGGGTAAATAAAGGCAGGGCTGGAGAAGAGGGGAAGGACATGCCCAGACAGAGAAGTTCGTCTTAGCAGCAGGGGAGAGGTCAGAGTGGCCAATCAAGCAAGGGGTGGCAGTTTGCCCGGAACAGCTCTTTAGGGTGGGAAGATGGGGAGATAGAGTGTGGTTGGCAGAGGTCCTGTGAGCCATAACTGGAATCAGCCCCTTTCTGTGGGGGAGAGGGAGATGGGAACAGCCTGGACTCGCCTTTCCCTTCCCAGGGCTTGGCCCTTGGGAGGGCAGATGTGAAGATGTGGTCTGTGAGGTTATGGACCCAGTTCTTTGGCTGTTGGCTCACGGAAGAAGTGATTCTCATTGCCTCTGTCTTTCAGGATGTCTGGAGAATGTCAGAGTGACGTGAGCATTTGTAAGTAACACATTCAAGAAACTTCCATGGGGCTAATGATGGTTCAGGGCGGCGATCTCTTGCTATGCAAGCATGAGGATCTGAGTTTGAATTCACTTAAAACTTAGGCATAGCTGTGCATGCCTGTACCGTGGTACTGGGATTGGGAGGGTGGATCCTGGGAAGTGGATGGTCACCTCTCCTTGCTAGAATGATAAGCTTCAGGCTCACTGAGAGATCCCATCTCAAGGGAATAAGTTGGAGATAGACATCTTTCTTTGGTCTCTGCATGTGGCTACATAGGCACCCGCATTTGTCCCAATGCGTTCAAGGCATCCCTGTGACATGAGCCATCTCTCAGCTGTAACCATGTGCTGTACCCTTCATGTGAGCTGTGATCCAGCTCCCCAGGCTTTTCTCCTAAACTGTCTATTCCTCTGTAGCGGTGGTCAGCAATGTTACCAGCATGAGCAGCAGCTCTGGAGGCTTCAGAGGGGTCAGCAGCAGCAGCGGTGGCTCCAGAGGTGGCAGCAGCAGCGGTGGCTTCAGAGGGGCCAGTAGCAGCAGCTATGGAGGAGACAGCAGTGGCAGCAGCAGCAGAGGCAGCAGGGAGAGCACTGGGAGCAGCCTTGGCAGTGAAGGCAGCATCTCTGTAAGACAGCGAGGAATGGGCTTTAACACTGGTGGCACCCAGGCCTCCGCTGGCGGCAGCTACAAGTCTTCCAGAGGAGGTGGCAGCAGTGTCCACTTTTCCCAGACCACCAGCTCCAGCCAGCAGCGCTCCAAGTGATCCTCAGATGCAAAACATTCTCACAGTCTGCTCTCTCGCCTCAGCCTGCAACAGTGTTGCTCCCCTGCCTCAGCCTGCAGCTGCACCCATCCCCCATCTACTTGGCACCAATAGGTGCACAGTGCAACCCTGCTTTCACTCAAGTTCCTTGGAGAAGGAGTTCAACTCATCTTTGAGTCTTCTCCTAGGCCAGGGTAACCCAGCTACTATTCTGGCCTGGAGAAGACCCTGTGATGGGCCCCAAATTTGGACGGTAACACCTTCACCTTCACCTTCCTTAGCCTTCTAGTCTAGCTTGGTCCATTTTGGCTGTCTACTGCTTGCGGATCAAGCTTTCAAAAATGTTAGTTTTCATGAAGCTCTTTGTATACCGGGAACATCTGTTCCCTTGATCTCCTGAGCTTCATGTCTTTGCTTCCCTTTCTGAATAAATTGTACTGTGCTTCAGAAACTGGTGTTTGCTTTTTATTCAAGGATTCATAGAATAGACCAGATCCAAAAGTAGAGCAAAATTAGGTCTTCTAGAAGACTAGTAACAGTATAAAGGATACTGAGTTGATATGCCTTCATCCTTACTCCTCTGCTTGAGTTCTTGTGACAGGCCTACCCAGAAGCACTCCCTGTACTAAAGAGGGGACTCACCCTTGGGAAGTTCATTTAATCATTTCCAGCCTCTAAGCAGGCACCATGCTCCAGCTTGTACACTCCTGACATGCACACTCCTGGCTTGCACACTCCTGGCTTACACTCTCCTAGCTTGCAAGTTCCTAGCTTGCACATGCCTGGCTTGCACGCTCCTGGTTTGTATGCTCCTGGCTTACATTCTCCTGGCTTGTATGCTCCTTGCTTGCACTATCCTGGCTGGCACATTCCTAGATTACACTCTCCTGGCTTGCACACTCCTGGCTTGCACACGTAGGGAGATTTGGGCATCATCACTCATCCTGTGGTGGGTTTTTTGGTGATGCAGCTGCTTCTGAGTCACCCATGTTTCTGTAAGAAACCCTGATAAGCTCACTGACTCTACAAACTAGAGTTGAGTAGCATAGTTTCTTTACACTGTTATCAGTCCCCTATCTGACATGACTAGATACTGGTTCATGTGTCTCCAGGAAAAGTCATAGAACAACATACACGCACACATGCATAGCACATATAAATATGAACATGCACATACATATAGATTTCATTGAATAGGGGCTTATAATATGTACTGCTTTTTACCCTGATAGTCACTTAGTCTATTGTGCCATTACTACTTCCCATTGAGACAGCCAACAACTACAGCAAATCCTACCACATCCTTGGCACTGCACCAGGACCAAGGAAGGAGAGAATGCAGCTTCTGTCTTTATGGAATTTACTCTTTAGAGTAAAAGAAATTTGCCAAATAACATCTTTATGTGATAATTCTTTCTCTCTCCACCCCCTCTTATTTAAAGCATTTTCCCATCGGCAGGTCCCAAGAGTTAAGTCTCCAGGGTATAATCTGGGACCTTTGCTGTGATCAACCCAGTCACATGACATTTGAACTCTCTTATTCCAACTGTGGTGGTTTGAAAGAAAATGGCTCTCAGAGGGAATGACATTATTAGGAGGTGTGGCCTTGTTGGAGGAAGTGTGTCACTGTGGGAGCTGGCTTTAAGATCTTTTTGTGCTCAAGATTTCCTCAGTGTGACTATCAGTCAACTTCCTGATGCCTTCTGGTCAAGATGTTGCCAATACCATGTCTGCTGGCAACCACCATGCTCCCTGCTATGACGATAATGACTTGAAACTCTGAAACTGTAAGTGAGCCCCCTCAGTTAATGTTTCCTTTGTAAGAGTTGCTGTAGTCATAGTGTCTCTTCATAGCAATAGAAACCCTGACTTCATCAATTCCTTCATGTTGATCCTAAGCGCATTGTCTAGACAAGCCTGCACCTCAGAAAGTGTGTCCTAGGAGCCTGGCCTGAGCAATGAGGGAGCCAAAAGATGACTGGCACCTTGAATGGGATTGGAAGGGAGGCTCACTCTCTTCTGGAAGGATCTAGTGACCTGGAGAGAATGGGGAACACTCTGGAGTCCTTGAAAACTTTACTGGTAAAGGATCAGGGATGATAGGTAACTCACTATGTGGGGAGAAGAATTTGTAAGGAAATGGTGGAAGCAGGGGTTTACAAATGTCTGAGAAAGCAGTGGACATCTGTATGAGACATCCAGAGAAGGCAATTGTTATCTTTAATCCACCTATTGCATTGTCTTCCCAGCCCACCTATTTTCTCCACTCATTCAGAATGTTTTCTTCTCTTGATAACCTAGCTTGAATTCCCAGTTCACTGATGTCATGAGTTATCTTAACTTATCCTTGCTGAACAGAGATGCTGCCTTCCCTGCCTCCAGACGGCTCCGTTCACCTCTTCTCATCTACCTGCTATTATTAAGTTTGTGTTCCCGAGTTCTGTTCTCACTCCCACTGTTCCAATCATCCATGGATGCTTCAAGTCAGGCATCATATTTACTAAATTGGGATTACTATAGCTAAGGCCAAATAGTTCTCACTTGAATGCCCATAAACTCAATTCATTGCCATTTTGCAAGATGCAGGGTCTTAGCTGGTCATTTATTCAAAATGTACATAGACCACTAAGATTTGAGACATTTCTTCTAACAGTTTTGCCTGGCTTTCCAAAGTCATTGGTGCTCAGACAGAATTAGACATGGTTTTTAATTCATTGCTGAGTCAGCCAGATTTTCCTCTACACATGTAGCCAAATCTCTGAGTCTTTTGCTTGGGATTCCTGTTTCTTCCTCCACACCTACTTACCTATCTACCCACCTACCTGCCTACGCATGCATGCACACATGCACACAAAGACAACACACTCCTGCTTCTCCTTCCACACCTACCTGCCTACGCATGCATGCACACAGCATACAAACACACACACACACACACACACACACACACTCCTGCTTCTCCTTCCACACCTACCTTCCTATGCATGCATGCACACAGCATACAAACACACACACACTCCTGCTTCTCCTTCCACACCTACCTGCCTACGCATGCGTGCACACATGCACACAAACACAACACACTCCTGCTTCTCCTTCCACACCCACCTGCCTACGCATGCATACACACAGCATACAAATGCACACATGCACACAAACACACACACTCCTGCTTTTTATGTTTTGAATCACGAAGCATAAATAACCTTTGCCTGCAAATTTTGGAGAAGAAAAACTGCACTGACAAGAGGGTACTCCACATGGGGGGTGCTCTCAGATGACGCTTCTGTTGTAGTTCATAAGGATGGCACAACTGGACAAGTGCTAATATGTGCTGAGTGCTTACTGTGCATCCAGACTGTCCTTAAAACAGCTGGGTTTTGCAGCCATTCTGAGTAGATCTTATTATCTTCAACTCATCACTAGAAAAAAAAAGCACATGTCCTAAACAACTTCACCAAGATTGGGTAACTATGAAGAGGGGAGCCAGGACTGAACTCTGCCAACCTCAGAGTTAATTCAATACAAAGATGCAGAGACAAGAGGTTTTGTACATGATTCTCACCTTGTGACTCATGATGTCAAATGAGTGTTCTAAGGTCTTTTTGACTATTCTAGTCTTTAAATTTTTAAAAAGAAATCACATTCATGTATTCAGGGGGTATACACATGTGCCACAGTTATATCACAGCTTGTGGGAGTCAGTTCCCTCCTACCATGTGGGTTTGACCTTAGTGGTCCGGCTGGGTCCCATGTGCCTATGGGGCCATCTCGCTGGCTTTCTCCTCTGGTCTTCCCATGAACTGGCCAAGTGTTCTCAGTGCAGCCACAGTACCAGCACATGTCTTGGCAGTGGTCAATAGGTGTGAAGTAAATGTGGCTGTGCTCTTCTGGGGGGTGTGGCACAGCTCATGGGGAACATTCAGCTTGGTGGTGGAGTGTGTGGGCTGCCCTAGGTTCTTATTTCACTCTTGTCATGAACCCTTATGCATAACCTGAACATTATAACTGACATGGTGGTCCCAGTGGTTTTGTTAGATCATTGCTGTCCTGAACAGTAAGATCTGGGGAGGAAGGAAGCTATTTCCAATCCACTGTTGAATCCCTGGCTCCCAAGCCTCTGACGCCAGGCTGCATCCTCACTGCTTGAGGCAGGGTTGGGTACAATGATAATAATGGTAATAGCTTCACTATGTTTGTTTTCTAGTGGCCCAGGGTCCTACAGAATTCCATAGTTTTAGCATGCGGGGTGGGGGCTGGAGAGAGGGCTACATTGAGGGAAGCGCTGCTGTTCTGTCCATGGTGCTGAAACGGATCCTGCGTAAGCTCTCTCTCTCTCTCTCTCTCTCTCTCTCTCTCTCTCTCCTACCTCTCTCCCCCTCTCTCTCCCTCTCTCCCTCTCCCTCCCTCCCTCTTTCCCTCCCTCCCTCTCCCCCTCTCTCTTTCTCTTTCATGCGTGTGTGCATGCATGCATGTGTGTGTGTGTGAGTTGTCTTTCAGAACTTCCTCCATCTCAACTCCAATCCCTGCTACTTTTACTGTTGTTGCATCTGGGCTAGGATATTTCTTGTCTAAAAATTAAATGAACTTTTGATTCAAATCACAACTCTAAAATAGGCCTAGAATACATCCCACTTTTTTTTCTATAACAGCAAGACATGAAATCATGTGTCCTTTGAAGTTGTTAAGGGGAAGGCTTGCACGTCTTTGTGTTTTCCCCTCTGCCTTGATTCCTGGAGAGTGTCTGTACCTGCTGATTGCAATGTGTACTTCCTCTTCTCATATGGATTATTATTTCTAATTTAATTCTTTTATATGGGATGAGAGGGATGTGAAAAACCCAGGAAACTGATCTTCTCTTTAAGGATATATTAGTGATGAGTGACATTACAAACCTCAAGCTCCCAGAGATAGTAAACCAGCAAATTAAAACCTTTACAAATTATAGCTATTTATTTACATGTATGAGTGCATGGGGGTGCCACAGGGTGCAAGTGGAA